CAACTATCAAAACTATTGTAAAATTTCATGAATTGTCTGCTGTAAAAATTAGAGGGAAGTGGGATGGAAAAATGGAAGTTTTTCAGTGTTTGTGTGGCATGCAAGAACTAGAGATAGGAGGCTTTTTACTCTTAATTGTGTTAGTTACTGGTTCTTATTGAAATTAAAAGCTAGCAAGCTGCTTAAAATAAAGTATTAAGTTTGTTAACTTGTTTGCTTTAAGATTACTGTCAGAGAGATTCGGGGAGGTTGGTGTTTTTGTGTTTTGGTTTGGGTTTTTTTTGTTTAGTTTTGGGTTTTGTTACATAGATATTTTTTTGGGGTGGAGGTATAATGTTGAATAAGGAGACTTATTTTGTAAACTTCTGCTTTTTCTAGACAAGTAAGCTATGTCATGAATTTTAAAGTTTTCAGACCAAATATTCTGACAGCCTAATTACAGAAAACAGTCATTATCCTAGCGTAAATTTATGCAATGCAGCTGCTCTTAGTTAAGCATGCCAGTTAGATATAAAGTTCCCTTAGATGGAAAGGTGAAAGAATAAATCTGATGTAATGATCTGAGTGGTATTCTTGCCTCCCAGATACAATACGGCAATATACTTGCATGCACTGTTTACACAGGAGGTATAATGAACAATAATCCGAATAATGAGTAATTAGGAGGAACTTTGCTTAAATAGGGCAAGGTAATGAACCTAGGCCAGTGAATGGCACATTCTGCAGCTTACCAAAATACATTAACATGCAGCTTCTGGTGTTTTTTCTCGTAGCTAGCTTGATATGAAGTATCTAAACAGCAGTAGTAGTTTTATTGTGTTTTTGAAACATGTATTTTACTTACACTTTAATTGGAAGAACTCTGTAGTGGGTTGACCCTGCCTGGATGCTAGGCATCCACCACCAAAGCCACTCTCTCACTCCCCTCCTCAAATGGACAGGGGAGAGAAAATATAACAAGGGTTCATGTGTTGAGATTAAGAACAGGGAGCAGTCACTGAATACTGTCAAAGGCAAAACAGACTCAAACTGGGGAAATTAAGTGAATTTATCACTAAACAAGATCAGAGCAGAATAATGAGATGTAAAACAGATCTTAAAGACACCTTCCTCCTACCCCTCTGTCCTTCCCAGCTCTACCTCCTCCCTCCGCAGCAGAGGAGTGGAAGCTACAGTCAGTTCATCACGTGTTGTTTCTGCCGCTGCTCAGGGTGAGGAGTCCTTCTCCTGCTTCAGCATGGGTTGTCTCACATGGAATACAGCTCTATTCCAACTTCTGCAATTTGAGTCCTTCCCAGCTACAGTTCTCCATTAACTGCTCCAGTGTGGGTCCCTTTCCATGGGGTACAGTCCCTCAGGAACAGCCTGCTCAAGCACAGGTCCCCCACAGGATCACAAGTCTTTTCATTATGTCTCTTCTTTCCTCACTTATATGCCAGAATATAAGAGTACTTTTTACCAGCAAATGCACGTTCCTCTTTTGAGTCCTGAAGTTTGACGTTATGCCGATCTTTCTGTGTGGGTGGGAACATTGCCATTCCTTCTTTACTTCCAATGTTGAATTTCAGTTGTTTTTCCTGCTATGGGCATACAGTGTACTAATATTAGCTGCTTTATATGATCTTGGAGAAAACAGGTTCTTCATGAAGGGACAAATCATTAGGTTCCTTAACTTTTTGGTACGTGGGGATCCAGAAATCTGCTATTAAGGTCCTTTTTTTCTTTGTTGGATCCAGGCTTATCAAAATACATGAATTTTGTACCTTTTACCCAAAGGAGTTTTCTGCCCCCATCTCTAGGGAAAATCATAAATTTCACCTCCTGCTATGTCATGCTGACACTACCAAAAATTTTATTACTAAGTTATGCAACAGTCTTTGCCTTTATTTCAGCCTTTCTCTTGAATGATACTGCTCAAAAAACCACTATGTTCTGTGGATTTTTATACTTTGTCTAATCTTGCAAGTTGTTGCAGTGACATTTAAAATCACAAAGTATGTGATTATATTAGTGACCTGATAAAAATGACACTAGAAAATGTCATAAAGCATCAGGAAAAATGTAAATATTTAAGGTGACTAGCTTAAACTTAATGAAAGGTTTAAGCTTAACCTATGGGGAAATCAGTAACTTCACCCCTAAGCATCATTTCATTGTTTATTCAGTAACAAAGTAAGTAAAGTGAATAGTGGAGAACATGGCATTGGTACTTACGAGTAACCACATCAGACTACTGCTTTTGTGTGGAATTTTAAATATACTTTTTTATTCAATGCATTTTGTTTTAATATTTTTCATTTTTTCAGCATTCTAAGAGCTATATAATTAATTAATTAAAATACATAAAAAATAGAGATATATTTAAGAAAATGTGGAAAAATATTAGAAAGCAGAGAGAATCTACTTTATGCTGTTTATACAATTTCCCATATGGTAGCTGTGTGTTGTCTCCTCGTACACCCTGCATTGACCTGAAAGAACACAGCTACAGATTAGAAATAAATTTGTAAATTACGTACTTTTCTTCCCTATTTTTCCTGCAGAAAGATAGCTAATTAAGAGAAGTGTGGAGCTCTAAAAGTTAAAAAAAATAAGCTATGAATTAGACCCAAGGTCCACCTGGAGACAACTGAAGTAAGGCACCTACAACATGCTACTTTCTCCAAGTAGTTTCTTGACCTGCAGCAGTTTGTCCCAGGGACTTTCTGAGCCAGATGTGGAATCTTTGTATTTAGAAAGAGTTAGCTTATATCCCTCCTTGCATCATGTGCTCTCTGCATCATCTGATGGCATGAAGTCCCACAACCTAGCTTCGAGTTACAAAGACTTCCCACTTTTTTTTTTTTTTTTAGTGCATTACCTGCTGGGATCATTTGGTGTCTCAAGGTCTTTCGTGAAAAGAGACAATGAGCAGTTAGTCGTTATCTGCCCTTTTAAGCCTTTCATAGATTTCAGATCTGTGTCATGTTCTCTTGGTTACCCTCCCTTGGCTTAAGTTACTAAATTGCTTCTCATGCAGTATCTGTTCCATGCATTATCTAACGCTGTTGCATTTTTTGAGACTGGGCTTGGGAAACCATGACACTGCACAGTAATCAAGGTAGGTGTGTAGTGATGTTCTCTGTGTTGTTCACTATTGCTTTTTTAAGGATTCCAAAGAGTTTGGTTCTTTGCACACTGCATAGCACTGAGGTTCTGATTTGGAATGGTGTTGGTCAGCTCTGAACTGTATTTGTATGGAAAATTAGAATTGCTGCATTTTTTGGTTTTGATATATTTCATTTGCCATTTTAAAATCTGCATTCTCCATCTCAGAAGTTCCTATGCCGTTCTTCCTAGCCTACCTTCATCTGCATTACCACGAGAAACTTAGTTTCATCAGCAAACTTTGTTGCTTCGTTTTTCTCATCTTTTTTTTCTTCTCTTCTCTTCTGTTTTAATTGAGTGAAGACATTAAACAGATATGACCCCAGAGAATTTCAGTAGTGGTTCCTTTTGATGTGAAAATTGACAATTTACTCTTTTCTTTCTACTTTAATGCAATTATCTATTCATACAAAGCCTCCTCTTCTTTTTGGTGCTCTGAAGTCTTGGGTGGGAAAGGGAGTGGGATGTAAGAACTTTTGGAAATGCATGTAAATTACACGAACTAGATCCTGCTTATGTGCATGATATTTGCTTCTTTCAGGAAATTGTCTTAGATTATGCAGCAGAACTTCAAACTCCATGTTGACTCTTCCCCAAAATACTATGTTTATCCACATTGCCATTTAATTTCTTATAGTTTCTGCTTAATTTGTCCATCAAATACTTTGAGCTGGTATTGCAGTCTTTCTCAGTCATCTTTTCACTCTTCCTAATATTCCTGTGCTGTCATTTAGCTTTTTTAAGCTTTAAAGGCATTACAGTTTCTTCTTATTTCTTAGTCAACCGGTGTTCATGCAGAAGAAAGTGTACTACTGTTTGTTTTTCTAAACCACTTTCAACATAATTTTATTTGTTCTGTTTTCCTAACTCTTGGTAATCTCTGCTTTAGTTTTTAATAAAAAGTTGTTTTGTTGGGTTTTTTGTTTTGCCTTTTTTTTTCCTTTTTAAACTGTAGTGTTCTTTGGCATTTGTTGGCTTCACCCTGCTTCTCATTTCAAAAACTGATATCTGTCCTTGATTTCAATATGCTACAATTCCTGGGGTTTTTTGAATTACTGGAATTCTTGTATTTTTTTCAGTAAATAAATTTATAGGACTCTCTTTTGCAACACAACATGATACTACAATAAAAATATTGCATTTAAAACAAAATAATAACCTAACGTCTCTGATAGTAAGAGAAAGTTCTGCTGCCTTGAAGGAGTGTGGTAGGTTAGAAGATCCTGTGACTGTGGTTATGTAGGTAACTTAATTAGTCCTATTTAAGGTTTTCTTTTCATTCAATCCTTTGTGCATATGAATTGGAACTTGATATTCAGTGTCTTTTTTGAGGATGTGTTGGAGTACAGACTAGTTGAAGGAAGAGGTATTCTGGAGAATTTAGTTATCAAACAGGAAGAAGTCTTTATTTGGCTTGTACAAAGTGATTTCTGAAAGTATTTATAATGCACTTTAAGAGGTATTTGCATGTTGATAAGAGAAGGTCTGTCTTCAACACTCTCAAGGCTGTTCATAAGAAATTCACTCTGTGAATACTGTATGTATTCCTAGTATGTTGTCCAAGTTGGACTTTTGAAGGAAAATCATGCTTGTTGACATGGCATCTAGCACCTTCTTATTCAGTTTTGAATTTGTTGCCCCTTTTTCAGTACAGTTTTGCAAATAAAAGATTAAAAGTTCTATAGAACTTTGTAGTAAGGAAGTTTAATATAATGAATGGAAGCATCATTGAAATTAAATGCAAGTTGTTGAAGACATGAGATTTATTTATTGAATTTACTGTTGTAGGATTGGGAACTTCATAGAAAACTTGTTTTTTTTTAATAAAAAATAAATTTATTTATTTTCTCTAGGCGATTCCTTTACACAGTTCCGATTTGCTGACGAGAAAGAATGGGATAAAGAAAGCATATACCATAAGCAGGTAACAGAATTATGCAAATGATTCTATATAGATAATCACCTGGGAGAGAATATCCAGGCAGTTGTGCTTTTAGCAATGAGTTGTTAATAAAATAATAGCACTTTTTATTCTGTATATTTTTATTAACTTCTCTCTGATTCTAGAGGCTCTTGGGCCTTGTCCTTTTTTTTTCCTACTGAAGAATAATCAAAGCAGCAGGCAAGGTTTTTAAGTAATGTTGGAAGGAAAGAACAAGAAATACCCCCAGTGAAGAGAAAATAAAGGACTGTCACTTCTCTTTACTGACATAGCAAGTCAGTCTTCCTTTTTCAGCTCTATTCAAGAGAAAAGAGTTTAGTGAAATGCCTATTACAAAACCTGTATGGGTATATTCATATATTGGATTATGAAGCTTATTCTAGTCCCTTCATACCATCTGATTGGAACTTTACATCCAAAATAACTAGAGCAGCAACTATATTATTTGTATGTGAATTCTTTAAGCTTGAATAAAAAGGAGCAGAGCAATAGGAGTCTTCTGTTTTCTGTAAGGATTCTTGCAAATGTCTCAGTCTCTGAAGCTCTCTTCCTCATGTAAGTGACCTAAATTATTGCAGGATAAATGTTTTTTAAAAGTTTTTGTCATCCAGGCTTTTCTTAAAATTGCTGTGAAACTGCTTGAGTGTTTCTTGAACCATACATGTATACTCAAATTTTAACGGTTTGCTATTTATTTTCTAAAAATATTACAATAATTATTCCCTGGGAAGTGATATTTAAAGGTAGTTTAGAACTGCTAAGTCAAATTAAAGTGAGGAAATGAAACCAAGTGCAGCATTTGTTTAAACCACCACCTGTTTGTTTAGTGTGACACAGTCTTTCAATGACTGTGTACTTTTTCTTATCAGTCCTTTCGCTACTAGTGTGCAGGATGTTGTCAGTATCCAGAATATTAGTTTCTTCATAATTTCCTCATAGGCTTCTCAGTAAAGCATTTGTGTGATTTGAACACATTAATTCCTGAATGGGTAAATCCACTGTGAGCAGAGTGAAGTTGCTTGTTGCCTGTGTCTTTTCTTTAGACTGCAGTGATGAGGCTGCACAGTTCTGGAGCTGGTCCCACACTCTAATCGTGGAATGTGCTGTGGTGGTCATGTGCTTCTGCCTCTGGCCCTACCAAACTGTAGTAATTCGTTCTGCCCCATTCATCATTTCCTGCCTCTCGCTGTTCGTATGTCACTTTGAAATAGTTTACTGCATTAGTCACCATTACAGTTCCTTTAATTTCTTATTTTAATACAGAATCCTGTCCCATGGCATTATCTAATTTTTCATATTGTCTCTGGTCTTCAGTCTGGTATCTCCCTTTTGTTTCTGATCCATGTTTCTTTTCTGTGAAAGCTGGATCCAGGTCTAAATTTCATGCTAGATACTGTTTGGCTGAGTCCTGGCCTTTGCATCTCAGCTCACATGTGTCTAGTTCTTCTCTTGTCTATACATTATGTACAGGATTAGAGAATTGGAAACTGAGGTTAGTTGATTACAGAGGAACAGAATAAAGTAGAAAAGACATGAAAATAGTTGCAGAATGACTAGATGTTTCTTATTCCCCACTGTTTGTAGAAGGCAATGGCAAAGTGCTAATTTCAAATGTAGACTGGAAATGTAACCATGACATCAACAATTACAGTTTTTCAGTTTATTAAGAATATTATCATTCATTGCTACAAAAAGTAGATTTGGATTTGTTTGATTGTATATTGCTAAAATGCAATAAAAATGTTCCAGAACATGGACTGAAAATGTGAAAAATCAAACTGCTAATAGACATTTGGATTTTTCAGTAAAATTGGCAATTCCAGCAACAAAGTATGCCTCTGCTTATTTTTTTTTGAGTAAATATCTGTGTGCCATCAAGTGTTCATAATTTATTAAATACTGCTTTGATCCCTTTGCTGTTATTACAACACCACTTTTGAAATCTCTACTTGAATATTAAATTCCTTCTTCTATTATGTTATTCCTCCAAATTCTTCTTTTCCTTTATCCTCAACCTTCCCTCCTCTTCCCTATCTCCATTTTTTAACCTTCATTTTCAATGTTCATTCACAATATTTTCGCAAGTTTACTTAGCTCTTCCCAAATGCATTTAAATATTATTCAGTGATATTTGGTGTTTTACAGTTTTTTAGTATTACCAGATTGATACAATTTTCTTGTCTTTTGCAACTGTGCAGAAGCCATATTTGATTTTCAATACCTGTCAAAATAACTGGATTTTCTGAAGATCTAGTTCATTGCTGGGCAACATGAATTGCTTGCTGGATACTTTTTTTGAGGTTACTTGCACCAGTGAATCATCTTTGATTGTGATCTGTAATCCATTGTAAAATAAAGTTGTTAGTAAAGAAGAACAAATTCTAACCATCAGATATTTGATTGGTCCTTTTATTTTCATTACTGGATGCCAGAACCAGAATTTGGATACAAGAAGCTGTTAAACCAACTGCCTTGTTTCATTTTCTAATTTATTTTAATTTTGTAAATATACCTTCAGAACACATTGTCTTTGATGTTCATTCTTGCTATGTGTGCAGGTGTCAAAAGCCATCCCATTGAGTGACTTTTGGAAGCGGTGTGAATTTCTTTGACAAATCTCTTATGATGTGGCATAAAATACTCTCTCCTAATTTTGAGTATTTGGACTTCTAAATGTCTGTGCTAGTCTGCGTCATGTTGAGAGGGACAAATTTAAGTGAGATTTGGAAACGGCTTCTCTATTTCCATGAAAATGAGAGTATAGACTGAACTGAGGCATTTTGTTGTCAGATTTTAAAATATGTGATGGATATCAAATTATCTTTTTCATCAATGTTGAGTACACTCAGAATGTTCTGCTGTGCTGAAATATCTTTTAAGACTACTGAAGTTTGTGGTGTTCTGTAAAAACATAAAATATTGCTTATCCATTTTGTGTAACTTTGTTTTTAAGAAAGAGTTAAGAGCAAAGGAAACTTGAATACGTGTCACAGTAATAAATTGTCATTTAGCAGTAGTAGCATGTATTTCTTGAGTATCATTTTAGAAATCTTTGTAACTATACACTTTGTTGCTTTTGAAAGTATCAAATCATTTAAAAGATAGAGAAGTATGAAAAGGCCACTGTTTAGGTATTAAAAAAAGTATAGCTACATAGGAGCTACATGGATTGATTGCTTGGAAAATAGTAACAACTCATTAAAGAATGGTTTTTCATACTGCATGAAAGCTTCACAGTTTAAAAGATGTTTCAGTTGGAAAAGTTTCTTACGACATTGCTGAACAATTTCCTGCTTCGGATTTTCAAGGCATTGTCTAAGGGAGCACTCCATTTATACCTTGTTTTTTAACCTTAAGTGATTATTTGCATTGTAGGTGTTTAGATGGTAATTTAACTGCGCTATACATGTATAATGTAAACTATTGATTCTTATGTTTGATTAGATTGTTCCTCACATTCCTTAAATGTGTGGAACTAGGAAATATAATAGATTTAAGTCATTATTAGCAGTTTGTGGGGGTTTTTTTGTTTTGATTTGTTGTTTTGTTTTCTCAAGTGTACTGTGTATTAATTCTTTTTCAGTTCTCTGCACTTTCTGTTGACTGCCAGTCTTTGGTCCAGGCAGTTCAGGAATTGCCTCTACATCTGAGGTTGAATGTAGCTGCTGAACTTGTGCAGGTAATGCTATGAATTTTCACAAGAAAATGCAAAGAGAAACAATCTATGCAAGAATGGTCTTCGAACATAAGTAGTATGTATTATATAAGTAAATATATTAATTTAGACTGGCATTTCATATGGCATGTAATGCAGGATAGCCCTCTACCAGCACATTTTGTGCTTATTTGGCTTTAAACAAAATGCTTGGATGTGCAGCATACTAGATATGAAGCCAAGTATCAGAGTGTTTGACATGGAATGATTGCACTGGTTTAGTATTTGCTTCTCTTGTTAGCAGCTGTTGTTAAATTCTTGCAACAGTATTTTGAAAGTGCTTTCACATTCTTTCAAATTCTTGCAACAATATTTTGAAAGTGCTTTCACATTCTTTCCTGTAAGTTATTATAATTGTGATTTAATCTTCTACATAACTAATATAAACATTCATGTTTATTCCATGAATAAAACTTACATCTGTGTTAGAACATGTAGAACTGTTAATCACACAAGTGAAGGGAAGGAGAAAAGAAAATGCAACAATATTAGGAAAAAAATGTTCCTTCAGACAGAAAAGTGAAAAAAAGTACTAATGTAAGGGTAAAAGAGCCAGTGAGACTTAAATAAAAAACCAAAACTCTTAAAAAGAATCCATCTGCCTAAGCAAGGAAAAAGAAATATAACCCTTACAGAAGGGTCTGTTCAGGATTGCATGAAGTGCTTCGTGACTGACACTATGCTCTTTATATGGCAGCTCCAATATGTCTGCAGATGTGATGGCTAAGGGAATCTGCAAATAAATGTTGCTTTCGCATGCAATTTTCTTCTTAGGAGTTCTAGTCATGGTCTTTAACTTCTGTCAGGGTTACAAAGTGTGTGGCACTTAATGACATTTAATCTTTGTCTTGTCACTCTGACCAATGATGAGCTCATCAGATATTCTGCAGTGTTGTTAGTGCCAAGGCATCCTCATAAAAGCAGAATCTGTTACACAGTTAAATAATGACTTGACATTTCTGTTTGATAATGTTTTGTAGTTTGGTTTCATTTTTCAAAATATACAGCTATATACTATAACTCCTGCTAGATGATTTTCAGCAAGATGTAGTATGATTTCTTTCAAGACTAGAATTTTGGAGAGATGGCATAACATGGGATGATGTTTCTAACCAAATTCTGACTCCAGTCTCCCCAAAATTCAGAGAATTGATGGGATTTCATTTTCTTTTCGGGAGAATTAAGGAAATGTAATTTTATAGGAAGTGCAGAGCATTTAAGACTGTCTCACATGACATCATTGTCTCTAAACTGGAGAGACATGGATTTTGTAGATGGACCACCTGGTGAATAAAAAATTGAGCTGGATGTTCGCTCTCAAAGAATTGTGGTCCAGGTGGAAAGCAGTGGCAAGTACTGTTCCTCAGGGGTCAGGCATTTTTTTAACGTCTTTGTTGGTGATGTGAACAGTGGGATTGAGTGCACCCTCAGCAAGTTGCAGACAACACCAACCTGTGGGGTGCAGTCAGCATGCTGGAGGGAAGGGATGCCATCCAGAGGGACCTTGACAGGCTTGTGAGGTGGGCCCATGCAAACCTCAGAAGTTCAACAAGGCCAAGTACAAGGTGCTGCACCTGTGAAAGGGCAATCCCAAACGTAGATACAGGTTGGGCAGAGAATAGATCAAGACCAGTCCTGGGGAGAAGGACTTTGGGGTGTTTATGGATGAAAAGCTCAGCATGACAGTGTATGCTTGCTGCCCAGAAATCAATCGTATCCTGGGGTGCATCAAAAGAAATGTGACCAGCAGGTTGAGGGGAGGGGATTCTCCCTCTCTACTTTTCTCTAGTGAGACCTTACCTGTGTCCAGCTCTGGGGTTCCCAACACAAGAAACACATAGACCTGTTGGAATGAGTCCAGAGGTAGGCCACTAAGTTGATCATAGGGCTGGAGCACCTCTCCTATGTATACAGGCTGAGTGAGTTGGGGCTGTTCAGCCTGGAGCAGGGAAGGCTCAGACCTCCTTTCAGCCTTCCAGTACCTTAAGGTGCAAGAGAGCTGGAGAGGGACTTTTCACAAAGGCATGTATGGACAGGACAAGGGGAGTGGCTTTATACTGAAGAAGAGTAGCTTTAGATTAGATATTAGGAAGTAGTTCTTTACTAAAACAGTGGTGAGACACTGCAACAGCTTTCCCAGAGCAGCTGTGGACTCCCTATCCCTGGAGGCGTTCAAGGCCGGGTTGGATGGGGGTCTGCTCAACCTGGTTTAGTAGAAGGTGTGCAGGGACATTGAACTAGATTGTCTTTAAGGTCCCTTGAAACTCAAATCAATCTAAGATCTTGTAAATATTTGTGAAACAATGAAACTTGCTCATTTAGCATACAATCTCATATTCTGCAATAAGGGATAAAAGGAATTTGTGTTTTGTGTTTGCTTCTCTAAAAGTATCATCCAGATAACTTTAGTTTACTTTTGCTTCAAATTCAATTCTGCTCAAGTTTGCTGCACCTTCTTTAATGATCAAATATGGGAAGCATGAATTGCAATCCAAATTAGAATAGTAAAAATACATAATCATTATAAAGATTCAAGTCCTTTCTTGTACTCCTAGGCATCAACACCTGTAGAGCTTCCACAGATGAAAGCTAAAATTTTTGAAGATGGCAAGAGGAGAGAGCAGCTGTTGCAACAGTCTCTGGCTCGGAGTGAAACTGTGTTGGTTTCCCATCCTGTTGGTATTTCTGTTGCTCCATCAGAACCTGGAAGTAAAAATGGTTCTACTGCAAATACAAGAGAACCATTTCAGACAGTCCATCCACTATCAAAGACAGAGACTGACCATTTGGATGAAGAACTGGAACTTCTCCTGAATCTAGAGGCTCCCATTAGTACAGAAAACACATCTGTGACAGGTGGATTATCCTACAACATATCAACTCAGAAAGATTTGAAAATGGATTGTAAGGAAACCGGTAAGTTTTCACTTCACCCCAGCATGTCCTTATTTAATTTCCATTCTGCTCTGTTTTGGTGATGTTTTTAAATTTTTGATTAGGCAGTCAACAGTACTGCTGTCATCATCTCTGTCATACTGCATTTCGTTTATCTAGGGCTGTGCTCTGACCCATTTGTTCACTTCCAGTTTTAACTCCCCACTGAACAAAAATTTCACCATTGGTTCATTTGAAGCACTAAGAGACATTCTTCTGCAAAACAGCATTGGGCTTATGATTGAGCAAAATTTTAAATTAAATAATAAATAGCATACTGCTAGATAACTTTATTGCAAGCAAGATAAAGTATTAATGTAACATTATCAGCCCACAGTTCACCATGCTAATTAGTATACAGAACAATTAACAACTATTTCTGATGGCTTGTTGTAAATGCTGTTTTCAAACTTTACTAGCGTTGATTTTATAAAAGTAAGTTTAGCATGAAAACTGTTTTTGGAATATGACAGTGTTCTTCAGGAAAGAGAGATTGTGTTTAAATACAGTCAGTTGTGCTTTAAAAAGCAAAATGACCCAGGACAAAGAGCTGGTATGGAATTGTTTCCAGATTATCAAGTCCGTTCTTTTCACTTTTCTAGACCCTTTAAAAGTAGATACACCTGAAGAGAAGAATACAGCATCACAGCAACAGCAAAGTACATCTAAAGATGTTACTGAGGAAGAGCTTGAAGATTGGCTGGACAGCATGATTTCCTGAAGCTCAAATTTTGCTTGTGAATATCTGAATATAGCAAACATTAAAGAGATACTTGAATCTTTGTTTATGCCTTTGTTATTTCCTTTTTTTGTTCTGCTTTGTCCGGTATGCCAAATGCTGTGTTTTCTTTGCTGGCACCTAAAATTTTGTGCAACCAGAATTAATTTAGATTAGATGGAAAATTGTCAAAGACTAGTGATATTATCAGAAAGGTCTAAAATTTGTGATGAAATTAGAATTCTTTTGCTAAAGAACCAGGCTACAGCACACTAAGAGAACAATTACTTCAGCTTGTACTTGTTCTATGTAGTCCTTAAAATAAAGCTCTGAATGAAGAATGAATATGTGGTTTTACTCACCATCCTCACACAACCATTCCATACTGTAGAAAACCAAAAAAGATGACAGCAACAGTAATATTTGGTTTATAATAATTTATTGCAGTGGGCACTTTTTATTAGAAGAAAAAAAATGCATAATCCTAGCAACTTCTACTTGCAGGTGACCATAGCACATTGTTTCATTTTGGCCTAAGATTGAAATTATATTCATTTTAATACAGTGTATGTCTTTTAACAGCAGCATCTAATAAGCTGTTATTGAAGGTAGTATATAAACAAACTTCATGTGCAATTTGATACAGAGAGACAGAAAAGCAATACAGTTAATGGGTCTGTTCATTTAGAACACTAACATAAATAAAACGTTTGCATAGATAGCTATGTCTACAGAGGTTTTAAGGCACTTAATGTTTCAAGGTTGATGAAGTGTTTGAAAATGTTTTCTGTTTAACAGCTTAAAGCTTTTCAAGCTGAACCTTAATACATTCACTAGCAAATACTGCGGGGAAAAACTGGACAGCAGTTAGTTGAACTTTTTTTTCTGAGGTGCAGCCTCTGATGTTCAAGTTCTTCAGTGTCAAATGTTGTGCAATTAAGATGCCTTTTAGCCCTTTCAGCTGTACTGCCAAACACCAGGTTAATGATGTGGTTAAAAAGTTTTTATAATTTTAGGCCATGTTTGAACTCGAAGGCTTAAATTAATCTGGTATAGTTTTTTCTAATTAAAATCCCAGTAAAATACCTGTGAATGACCATATCAATGTGGTAGGTACAAGAAACCTATGAAATAGTGTCAAATTGTATGTGTTTCTTGAAGTTTAAAGGCATTTAAAGCAAGTACAAGCAGTGAAATTACACCATGAAAAGAATAATTTTTTTTAAATACTGGTTCTTAATAGTTCATGAATAAATAATTTTTTTTGTGGTATTAGCCAAGTTGATCCTCATACTGTTTTCGGAAGCAGTCCCCTGCTGGGAAAAAATCCCAACATCTTTCTTGGTACATCTTCCACACAAATGACTCCTGAAAATGAGAAAGAATATTTATTTAAGCAGTCACCATGCAGTTAGTGCCTTAGATAAACTTTTAAGAATGAACACACACTGTGCCTCTTACCATGGAATGTAAAGACTCTGAAACTCAGAGATCGTAACTCAAGAATGTTTGTAACAGTTTTGATCTGCATTTGTCCTGGTTCAGTACTACTGAAATTTATGCCCTGTTACTAAAATGTGTAAGTGCAAATTAATCAGTCTAGTTATCTCAGAACAAACCTGTACACAATTATATCAGAACAAACCTGTACACAATCTCTTGTATAAAATGTGTTTTGCTTTGATTGAAAAACAAATGTACTTTTGTAGTGTATGCATAACAGCTTCTTATTAGAGACAAGATAATTAAGTCCTATTTATTTTCTTGCTTATTTACCTTTAGGGCTTAGCAATGCTAAACATACAGGCACTCATATACCTATCTATCTCCACATATAAATGATTTTTTACTATAAATATACTAGCTTAACTACTTAAATCTTTCAGGAATAAACTACAACTAGTACATTTGAAGATTATATTTCAGAGGAAAAAAAGGACATTAAGATTATTAGCAACTGACTTCTGACAGAGTTCACTGCTGGGTAGAATAGCACACTGCAGTGGGCCACTCCCTCCCTTTTTGTTTTAACCCTTCTTTCCTTGCACTGGCAGTAGACTCCTGGGGAGGGTGGCATCATCCCCACTCCTCTGTGGTACATCAGTTCCACTTGGTGGTACACAGCTACAAGGCTCAAGAAGACAAAAATGTTGAAACATAAGCACAAGCATTAAGTTTTATTTTCTGCTCACCTGGCCAGTATGCTCAGTTTCATCCTTGTTAATTAGATACATTAAGAAAAACCTGAAAAGCACATGAAGCAGATATTAATGCAGGAAACATAACATCTCTGCCTAACCTCACCTAGTGTGGAGTATGTGAGGGAGATTATGCCAACCAGCTAAGCAGTGACACTGATAGGCATCTAAAGTGCTTATTTTAAAGGGGAAAATTCTGTCCGGAAGCTTCCTGTGGAAGTGCTAACAGATAAAAAAATCCGCAGAAGTAGAATAATGTGGTTTAGCATTTTCTTCATTTCAGTGTGAGGAGAAACACCTGAATTAGGCATATGCCAAATCCTATACATATATGCTCCAACATCTCACCTTGATAGAAGTTACTGTGGCTACTGTGTGAGAAATTTTAAGTGTGGCAAATATTGAGCTGCACCAGGATTTCCAATGCTCATGCCATATAGCTTGTTAAGCTAAGCCTATCATTCACCAACACCTGTGCTCACTCAAGTGTTGAGAGCTTGAATTAATTAGGAAGACTTCTGGAGTACTATGGTCTTTTTACAGGTAACACAACTCTTGGTTGGACACTTTTTATGCAGTGCATTTGGAATTAGACTTATAGTATGTGCTTTCATTATGAAGAAAGAAAAGTATACTGACTTTAACTGCTGTCTAATTAAAGGGCAGTGGCCTAATAAACATGTACAGCTCTTGATTACTTCGAGGTTTCAAAAAGCTCACTGAAGTACCAGAGTTGTTAATTATTTTTTGGAGCTTTCAAGAATCTTTCAGAAATGCCCTTCTTTTTTTGTTTGGTTTGGTTGGATTTTGGTTTTGTCCAATTGAGGTCAATTTTCAATGGTCTCATCAGTGTTACCAAGCCCCCACAAGTCACAATCAAAACTAAAGCAACTTATTAAACTGTTATTCCCTATGGTTCCACATGACTGTGCTTCCTTCCAGCAGATTAAGAAGTTGTTGTGCCTTCCAATCTCGTTCTACTAAGGCACCTCATGTGTGAGATGAGCACTTTAAAGATAGCCAGCAGTGTGGAGTAGAGGAGGGAAGACCAGAAAGAACAAGAGGTTCCTCAGTTCTACAGAGTTCTGTCTTGGGATTTTCAGGAATGTGTGCACCTAAATTACTCGAGACCTGAAAGGTCTCTATATCACAATTCCAGCTGCAAAATGTACTTACAGGTAGTTTGCCAAGTTATGTTCTTGCAAAGTATGTGTTTCAAACCCATGTGGGGTTGTGTCAAAATAGTCATTGCCGATTCCACAAATAAAACATTTGGTCTGAAAATACAAGTTGTGGTTACAGATGAATTTTAACTCAAAGACACTTTTAATTGATGACAATCTAAATGAACAAGAGTAATGAAAAATGTAATGTGCTTCCTACCTCCATGTCTTCTCTCACTTGTTCTTGCTGGTCTCTTAATTCACCAAAAGCATCAATAATCAGACCTATTTCAAATGGAGGAGTAGCAACACTTCAGAACTTAGCATTATCCATGTTGTAGGTAATACCTGTCAGGCATCCTCCACTGTCTAGAGTTTAGTATACTTACATCTAGGTTGAACAATTCCAGCCAGAATCTATCAATTTCTAGACATCTAACATTTGTTTACACTGCACTCCCAGCAGTAAGAATTTCTCTTACGTAGAGGTACAATCTTGAGAGTGGAAAGGATTTTCAGTGCTTTATTATGGTCAGTGTAACCTTACATAATCCCATCTCTTTTGTTCCCATGGATGAATTTAATTTTCACTCTCCTCATGAAACTCTTGTATCCCAACTCTTGTTCAACAGACAGCTCTGCTCCCACAGCCCCCACTGGCCAGTTGTTGAGTCTGATTCGCATTTGAGCATTAATTCCTCCACTTCCAACATATTAAGAATAGAATCAGATCATTCTGGGGACTGTAACATAACTTTCTCAGTATAGATGCATTGCATTTTTCTTTACCACCAGATTGGCATAAAACTGGGGTTTTTTCCTAACAGCCTTAGGTCAGTTCATGCAATGAGTGTTGAATGTCGAGTGTCACTGAAGAGAGGTCTCATTCTCTGTAAACCACAATGGCAAACCATTTAAAACTGAAAATCACCCTTTAAAGAAAGGAGGAAATGGCCATGTGGCCATGGCAACTTTCTCTGTATCATTTACCCTTTCCAAGGGGACAGTCTCCATTCCCTCACCAGCTGTGGTGGTTCTAAGCTAAAAGTGAGAAGTGTCTTCAGCAAGGTTCTCCAAGTTTAAATGGTTGTTATGGGAAAAACAGTGATCCTGCACAAACTGTGTCCTTACTGTATAGTTGTCAAAGTCTTCATTAACACTGTAACCCAAGTAAGTTACATTTCTTGTGCTTATGAATTAGGTATAAAATTATTACTTTCAGAATTAATGATTTTATCAGCTCACAAGTCTTTATAGCAGCACTGCTAAGTAAGTTTACTTCAAACATAAAAAGGTTTACATTGCTGAACTTAAGTAAGTTTTGAAGTCTCTACTAAGTTAAGTGACAGTACCTTGAATAATGGCCAGTAGGATAACAATGACAAAGAAGAAAAATGTGATGTCAAAGACAATTCGATAAATTTCATAAGGATCTCCAGCAGGATCCTCAATTTCATCTCCAATGCCACCACCAGCTCTTACACCCACATACATGTGGAACAGGTAACACTAAAAAAGAGAGAGGAAAATTGCAGATTATTTACTATGAACGACTGTGGGGTTTTTTAATTTTAAAAATTATTCTGCTCTACTAATTCTCGAGTTACAGTAACAAAGAACACTAATCATTCCTCCTTTATCACACACACTGCACCAAAAATCTGTTACTGCCTTAATTAACGTGATTACATCTTCAGGTACACTTACTAGGAGGGGAAGTCGGCATTAGCTGTTACCCACTCCTTACTCCCTGGGTCTTAATTACAGACTGAGACCATTTGGGGGGCATTTTTCTTGTATTTGTTACTGTATTCAACTATATTCTATCCTTGTATTAATTCTTAAGGTTCTACCTTCCTCTGAGTAAGCAGAGGATATATTTTCAAAGACTTGCAATGGAGTTTACAAATGTTGGAAAATATTGTCATAAAATAAATAGTGACTTCTTCCTTCATGACTAAATTACTAATTGTAATTTTGGAGGAGGATTTTATAACTAGTGCTAAAAACATCATATAATTCATATAACCTAAATAAGAATGGGAAGGGATTGCAAACTTGCAAACATTGGGAACAAATTGAGTTTATTTGTGTTGTGACAATACAACATCTTTTTGCAGGTCTTGACCAGTTTGTCAAATTTCTTCCACATGCTTTGAGGGTTTGCCATCTTCACCTGTAAAAGTATTGCAGCAAATCATATACCTTAGGAGAAAAATCCAGAATATCTCCCTATATGTCATCTATTTGCTGTTGAGTTTAGACCAGTGGAGAATGCAAAGGGAATTTCAAGACTGTTCATATTTTCAAAATTACATATAGCAAGAAAAAGATTTAACAACAAAAACATCTGTCCTTGCTAATCATTCTATCTAAAGTAACCATTTGAAAATTCAGGATGAAATTTGAAGCATGCAATTGATGTTTCAGTTACCGTCATCATGTCATCACATTTCATGTCTGGTTCATCTTCATCTTCACTTTTGTTGTAGAATTTGCGGAAGAAGTTGAATGCCACAACCGTGTAAAGATATACTACTACAGCGAGGAGTCCCACAGTAAGCACAAGCTGTGTATGGAGACATAACAAGGATGAATTTAATGAATAAATTCATGAATGACATAATGAATAAAATGCCAGAAGAGACATACTAGCTCAGTGTGTTCCCCTAAATATTGAAAATGGATCACATTGCACCTTTCCCAGTAAGGAAACTAAAGATAGCAGTTACGATAGCTTTGAGGTCTCAAGATTGCTTGGATTGATGGAAGTGTTACTTTACACTGCTCTTGTGAAAATCAAAGGGGAAAACAGTGTCAAGAAACTGAGGTTGTTTCCATCTTTCTGAGCCATATGCAAGCAAACTATGTATCACGGAAACCATATTTTCACTACTTAATAATTAAATTATAGTAACTTGAAACACTGGATATACAGTAAAAATTAAATGTCAAATATAAAATCCTTTAGTTAATTTAGTTAATTTGATAAATAATTTCAGCTAGGACTTATCATAGCCTATTTTCTGTCCCAAAGCTGGTTAGCAAAGCCATTGTTAAACTGGATAGAAAATGTTTTAGAGAACCACAAAGTAAGTAATTTCCAGGTCCTGCTTTTAAGCAAATGAAATCCTTAGGTGAAAAAGTTCAGCAGTTAATGAGACTATATTTTATTGTTTGTTGGAGCTACTGTTAGAAGATACAAATCAGGAAATGAGTTACTGAAAGCTATGTATTTTAAAAATGCAACAACTGATTTTACAGTTTTAAAAGAAATATATGAGTATTGAACAACGAGTTGATAATTTATCAGTTTCTGCTAATCTGTAAGTATGCTCCCAAAGTGAACATTTCAACTCAGAAATCTGCAGCTGTCTTTCAGCATTCATATTTACTAGCAAGAAAAACCACAGGATTAGAAAAAGTAATCTCTTGTTAAGTATATAACTAAAGGCTGCTGCTTTGAGTTGAAAGAGTTTTGTCAACTATGCTCAGTTTTGGCTATTACATTTAGAAAAAAACTCATAAAGAAAATATATTAATCATTACAGTAAAAGTAATATAAATTTGGACATCCTGAAGTAATATGAAGGGGATAAAAGCAGAGATTTCATTTGTTTGTGTGATGATACACATCATCACATTGTGTGGGGATATTCTTATGCCTCTTCCAAAACAACATGTGGTTTAAAATGTTTTGACAAATCTAGCAGGGTTTAAGAGTGGCCTAAGAATATTTGTTACTGCATTTGAGAATGAATGGAATGTGCATGTTTGAAATTAGGTCTTGGGAGTTTCTGGTAGATTTCTTAAATGTGAGTTAAAAGACTGAGTTACTGTAAAGCTTGTGGGGTTGTTTGGTTTTTCTTGTTATGCCAGCTAGGAACATGATCTTTAGAGATCAGAGAATGATTCCCTGCATAAATGTCACCAATTAGTTTTGGAAGTACATATTATTAATCTGATTTTTGCATGAAAAAGTGACATAGAAATGTATTCCACAGTGCAGAATGTCCACACCTTTAAGCACATTCTTACTATTTAAGTATTGAAATTTCATCACCCAGATAATTATTACTGCTGTAGCTAAGGAAGGATTGTGGATGCTTATTATTTATCACCAATCAGTTCACCATTGAGCATATAGAAGGAGTTGGTTCATTAATATTCCTGTATTTTTCTAAAATGGTGTATTTTCTGTTGTGTGCAAAACAACTTTATCAGCACTTTGTGGGTATAGATTATTATAATTTCATAGGATTTAACATGCATTAAATGTGCTAAAGAAGACACAATGGGATCTGTTCTTTAATCCAATCATGATTAAAATGAATTGCATTCCAATATTTCCTAGGTACTACAAAATTTTTTCCAGTACTTTTAAAAAATGCATTTATTTTCAAACCTTTGCATGTAGCACTAACCTGTTTGCCATTGTGAGTGACTGAAGACAAAATGGTTCTCAGTGTCTTAAAACCCATAGCAATATCCAGCAGATGGGCAGCAAAGAAGAAGTTGTTGTAGTGTCCAAGGATAGACATAGTCGTGTACCAAGCCAAGTATAAAAATGACTGCAGAGAAAGTGAAAAGTGGCAGTGTTAACAGATGCTCATGTGCAGTACTGCATCCAGATTTTGCTTTTTTTAAGTCACTTGAATTGCTGTAGCAGGACAATCTGTCTATGAAGGGGTGAAACAGCTCAAACTTCACCCTACTTGTGAAAATTACCGGTGATGGAGGGGGCATCACACTGCCTTTGGTATTGAAGAATGCTGAGACCAGCCTCACTCAACAACCCCAAAAATAAATATCATGAGGATGTGTGAAACTTGTCTATCCTGACAGCTACTGGCACTGGTGGGGATGTGGAAGTCAGATGTTTCCTGATAGAAGAACCAATGAATGGTACCACTAGTAACAACTTTAAAGATAAATGATGATCTGCTGAGCTAGCATGACTAGCCTAGCACCATATGACTACCAGTCATGTATTATATTATAAAAGCTCAGTCCAGCTTTTTAATGGTAGGGATTTCTAGCACTCCTTCTAGGTCTGTGTGTTTGTGGATTCTTCATTTGAAGGGCTATTTCTTGAGGCTGAGAAAAAAAGATTTCCCCACTGTCACTGGTGTGGGCAAGTAACAACACTATCTTTACTATTAAGCTAGCTTGCTAGCTTTGAAACTGTTAATTTAATAAATAATACAATACTACAATATCAGTTATGTACTGTGTGGTGTATAATTCTTATTAAAGTCCTCTAGTCTAACATTAGCATAATCAATTGAAATAAACCACTTATTTTACCTATATATTTGGTTTGCCATCCTTAATTCTGCAGGACATTTGTATAAAGGATCAATCACACCTATATTATCCTTTAGACATAAACTATTGTCCAAGCATAAGGTTGGATCCAGCCACACCCAGACTCCTCTCTGAAGAGTTTAGAAAGAAGTGTGTCCTCATGATTCAACAGCAGTGTCTCCCTGGCAAACTTTGTCCAAAGCTTTCATTAGGTCCACGACAATTATGAAATAAAGTAATACTATCATGATCTGGTTTGAATCACAGTCTGAAAGTAATACCACTACTTTACATGTTCAAAAATACTATGTTACTCTGTCTCTTATCATCTCTGCTGTTCATTTAAGGTGTGTTTATTACTTAGTTGTGCTAATGAGACAGTCTTCAGCATATATGTTATTAACATCAGTAACCCTTACCTTAAAACTGTTTTGGTTGGGAAGCTTGTTACACAGTACTTTAATTTTTAATACTGATTCTGGATGGAAAAAATGCATTGTATTACTCTTGAGACACTTTATTATGTTGAAGTCTCAGACCACATCAACCAGGACACCCAGAAAACCTAAGGCACATAACACTGCTTGTTCTTTCAACAAGCAGTGAACCTGAAGTCATTTTGACATCAAAACACTTGTTGAAGAACAATGGCTCAGTGTGCTTTTAGTGCACAATAAATTTGTACATCTTCACTTGATTCACCTTGGCCTTCTTGTTTGTTTGGAGATGCTCAAGGGAATGCAAAAAGGACTCTCAAAAAAAAAGATATTTTAATATAAATGCAGTCCTTTCAAAGGAGAAGGTATGAAAGAGAAGAATTAACCAGCCATGTGAAAGAAATGATTCAAGTATAAAAAATGGTAACTTTTTGTGGACTGCTTGATTCTAGAAGACATCGTTGGTTGCTAGATTGATTTCTACAAAATTGAAACGAATGCACCATTAACTTCCAAAATGCTGACACTTGGTGGTGAGGAGGTGCATATTGCCCTAAGAGAAAATTCTGACATAAATGAAAGAAATTTGCTGCAACACAAAACAGAAAAAAAGCATTTAAAAATAGCTCTGTATTGAAGTATTACCTGTGTATGTTTGTTTAAAATAAATGCAGATGGTGGAAGACATACAATCATGTTTAGAGTAAATCAAAGCATATTGTTCTAGGCTAGCATACTCACATTATCAGTGAAAACAACTCCAAGCTTCCAAATGTGGTACTTTGTATCAATGGAGCTTAACCTGGGAAATACAAAATTTTTGAAATGCATGTCAGAATTAAGTATTGAATTCCCTAATTATAAAGAGCAAACTAGTTTTGACACTTCACATTTGTGTTCATTTTTTTGAGCGATGCAGCTGCTTTCATTTTCAGAGCACTGAAAAATGAAACATTTTCCATTCATTAATTCTGAGCACCCATACAGAGTTTCTAAATTACTGAAACTGGCAAAACAATTTCAGTAGGAGTGATACTGCCATATTCCAGACTTAAAAAATTAAAATGTTGCCAAAAATAGTGAAATGTGGAACCCAAATTGCTTGAATTTGTGAGATAAGTGTTCTGTCTAGTGTAAAATGATGCCAAAATAACCAAGAGAAAAGGTAATGTCTTCTGCAAGATTCTAAATATTTTATTAGCTATTGGATGATGCATGAAGGGAAATCTTTCTTGTGTGTCTTAAGCATCAAGGAGACTAAAGTCTTGTAGGAGACTAAATCACTTGGGACTTGAAGACTTTGAAACTCACGTCTTCACCAACAGATTAACTCAGGAAAATATCTCTGAATTTTTTTGTCCTTTGATTTAAATTCTCTGTTGTAAGAGCTTTTAAATGCTGCATTGTTTATAGTTTAAAATAAGAGTGCCCAACTATATAAATCAGCATAAACTCATTGATTTTTTCCCTATTTTTATAACACAAGTACATTTTAGAACAAACAAAAGTGTTTTTTTTTATTTTACTTCCATACTAGGAAAACATTTCCACTTGAGCTCTCCATGCTGAGAAAAACATCACTACAGTTTCAATAAAAAATCCATTTTTATCTTTGACAGTGAAGTTATACGAACACATAATTTGTCTGTGAAATTCAGAAGTCATACCATGATACAAGAGATGCCTCTTCGGGTTTGCTCTCTTCCACAGGACTAAAATCAAGGGCACTTTTGTCCAAACCCAAGAGCTCTGCGATGCGCTCTGCTCCATATAAGTCTCCATACTTGTTAATAACCTAAAAATGGAAAAAGAGAAACTTTTGTTCAGAGAAAGTCCTCAGTGACATTCACCCTACTTTAAGCCAGTAGTTGCCAGGAATTTAAGAAAAAAACCAAAACTCAGTCTTTCACAATTAACACTCCTAGAACAGTCAGAACTCCCAGGAAGCCAGGTGAGTGGAGCATAAAAAAAGAAAAATAGAAGCATTAAAGGCTATTATCTGAAAGCTTAGTATAATTTGCTGTCATTTAAGCTGGCATGTTTTTCTTTTTCTAAGGGGATGAGGGGGCTTTGTATCCTAAAGATGACAATGACTGCAAATTAGACCTGCTGTCTGATTGACAGCACAAAGTTATTTCAAACGTCTGAGTCTAGGAAGAAAACCACAGCCTTCTGTCTTCCTCCCTCCTCTCACCTACGCTGCAGCTGCCTGTTCAGTCAGACACTTAACACAACAACGACTTCCAGAAAACAAATTTCAGTTCTCATTTACTTCTATATTTATGTGTACCAAAGCATATCACACAGAGATCCAAATTAACCAAGTAGTAGATTGACTAACAGAAGTATAAAAAGCCTACCTTTCGTTTTACGAATTTGTCCCAGTAATTGTTAGGGAAGGACCTACACAGATAAGGCAAAGATATTTCAAGTTATTTAATTTGCTAGGGGAAAGAAAAAAAATTAACAAAAAAGGAAAAAAAGGAGAAATACCACGTTCCTGACCACTGCAGATTCTGGTATCATTTCATTCACTCATTGTGCTACAAATTATGAGAATGATTTCTTTTCATGTGGACAACACCTGTTATTAGTCATCATTTGCTGCAATATCATCTTCCCTCCCCCCCCTTTCTTTTTCCCATCACAAATGTGACTGGCTACAAAAGGACAGCAGGCTAAATACTGTCACTTAATGAGCCTAACAACTTAATAATAGCAGGTTAGTCACAGTAATGTCATTCATCTCCTAAATAAATACTTTGTGCTCCTAACCATAAAAATCAAATCAGATAATTATTTTTAGAGGAACGGAAAAGATTCTTGAAGCATAAATAATTTTTAAGTTCAGTGGATTACATTCAAATACAGGCTGAACCCTTGTAAACCAATGGACAGTTTGCCAACATAAAATGAAAAAAAATATTAACACCCTCAAAAAAATGAAAAAGATCATTTTCCAAAATCAGGGATTTGTTGTAATTTTGTTCTCGCATGCATCATATTGTTAGCATTGGATCTGACACTCCAGAACAAGACAAAGTAAACAACATTTATAATTCTAAAGACTCAAGTCTGTTCTCCTAAAGAGCATTTGACATCAACTGCCTCTGAGCAGCAATATGAACACTGGTAATTAAAAGAAAAGCTGTTGTGTACATAAAAGAAAGAAATGGAGCAGTAAATCTTAGATATTAAAGAGGTGTCCAGGTATCTATGTTGAAAATTCTCCGCTTCTTTGGAGGGTCCTAAGGAACTATGATGATTCAATAAACAGTATTTCCCAATGCCTACAACCTGATAGCAATTCATGTCAGACCTACTCAAATTCTGGGATTGCTGTTTTACACTAGATTTGCTTCTCTTGTCATATGCAATTTTTTTTAGCAAGGAGTGGGAAACAAAGGCAGCAGAATATTACTATACGAGTTAAATTGAGTCACTGGAAAGGATGGAAGTCTTCTTTTTTCAATTTTCTCAATTTTCTCAATAGTGACTAATCTGTGAAATGTCTTGGAGTGACATTGTAAGGTAAGATGCATAACCCTTGCAAACTCTGGAAAATGAAAAGGAGGTGAAATACGTGTGTTACGATAGTATTTATTAAATAAACAGATAATACAGGATTTTATGTTAGAATCTACTACTAGAGCATCCAATATAAGGTGCTAAATTTTAGGTGCTTTCTTTTAGATTAACTAAGTGGCAGGTGGACAGGAAAAGTTCTAGATCAGTTCTATAGCTTAATGAGCTATGATATTTATGAACCGAATGTATACATATTAGTTTTACATACGGAGTATTTATAACGAGGCGATCCCATTGTCCTTTGATATCATCCTCAGTTGGCTGTTCAGTTATGTATAGTCCATCAAATTCCAGTTTCCTAGCTACCTCCTTTTCTCTCTTGAATACAACCAGAGGGACCTATGAAAATGACAGTGGACATTTTTGTCATGGTTTGTATCTTTTTAGTACCTACAATACTCTTTACTGTATTATATAAGACCAAACATCACACTATCCCCTCCCACAAGGAGATCAATGCCCAGTCAGCCTCTGAGCAATGGTCATCTTGGAAGTCAAGCCATAACCCTCCCCCTCACCCACATTTTGTTGCTAAGCATGGTGTTGCTTGGCCTGGAATATCCCTCTGGTTTGTTCAGGTCAGCTATCCTGACTGTGCCCCATCCCAGTACACTTGCTGGGGGCTGCACAGAGTGGGAAAAGCAAAGAGAGCCTTCACACTGCCAGCACTGCTCAGCAATAACCAAAAGGTGTCTGTATTACCAGCACTGTTTTAACCACAAATCCAAAACACACACACACTGCTCTGATCAAAGTTAACTCCGTTTCTGTTGGACAGAGTATGAGAGGAAAATGTCTATGAATTGAACAGTGAGAATTTGTTAACAACTAGATACAAATAGCCATTCCAGTACTAGCTCCAACAATCACTTGGGGACATAGACAATGTTCTTTAACAAATAATGGATTAGTAGTAAGATTAAGAACTTGCCTTTAAGCAATAGTATCCAATCACACAGACAAAGGATATAATAGTATGAATAACTGCCAGTGCTCTGAGAGCAGGTGCCATATAACCTGTACTTTCTTCTAAAACAAAAAACACCATGCCCTCCTCTTCTTCCTCTTCAGCAAAAGAGTTCCAGAGAGTAGAGTCTTCCTCTACTTCATCAACTGGCTCTTCTGTCACCTGAGAAAAAGTCAAACGCAGTCAAAATACACAATAAACTCCAAAGCTTTTCCTTTACTAAAATAACAAATGATGTTTGCAGTCTGCTCAGAGGAAGGTGATGGAGCATTGGCTTTAAACAGGAATGTCTTTCATTTTCCCAGCAGAAGTGTCCATGTCATCTCATGTCACTGAAAAGAAAATCTAGAAAAGGTAAATGCAAGCAGTTTAAAAATCTGTTCTTTAATAAGGCCATTGCAAAACTAACACAAGCAGTGAAAAATTTATGCAAAAATGCTTCCTTGGAAGAACCAAGGAATGGCAGGGTTAACTAGTATGACTGAATTTAGGGTTTGTTTTGTAATCTACATTGTTCCTGATTACTAGAGTCTAGAAACAAACAAAGTTTTCATGTTATCAACAAGTACATTGTCCATAGTTTTTAATTTCATAACTCAGTTTAGAGCTTAAAAATTAATACATTATTTAATCAGCCATAAAACTGACATACTGCCCTACATACTTCCAGTGACTTTTAAAACCTGGACTTTAAAAGCCCCTGTCTTTTGGCAGCTTTATCTGAAAGCTGCTCAGTCCTATTTGTCTCCCACTGAGCCTTTCCTATTTATGACAGAGGGACTTGTACTGATGGACACAAACATTTGTGCTTGCTCTGCAACAGAATAGGTTAACACCCATAAGGCTCCATGAAAAGCAGATGAGAATGGGGAGAAAAAGACTGGCAGAGACAGACTTCTGCGTATATATTTGAAGTCCATCTCCTCTAACCCTATGGGAAGGAAAAAAGGGGCAAGAAGGAAGCCATAAATAGTCCTGATGGTCTTCCTCCTGGAATGGTGCACACACACTCTGCTCCCTTTTGTGTCTTTACCTGCCCTGCCTCTGAAACTGTAACTGTTATCAGAATTGCATATCAAGATCTTTGAGATCAGGACTCAGTTACTTCTAGACTGAATGCTCAGCTAGCTGGTTTTGTCTTTCAAGGTTTTGGTTGTTAGCAGCAGAACTAGAAATATAGTATTGGAAAACACAAGGTTCATCAGCTTATTGCAGCTTTCACCCTGTTTAGAGGGGGAAATCAAAAGGGCCAGATGTCAGGATGTAGATAAATCAGGACTTTTCTTTCAGACTTCAAATCTGTACAGAAAGGATTAAAAAATATGCTTTTATGGATAGGAATTCTCTTTATTGAATACTAATCTTTTGCATGGATAGAGGTTGTGAAGGTTCAGGAATAAAATCAGTGGAGGCTGCTGAAGATGTCCTACTTTTATGTCATTGGGTTATACACCGGAATCCAAAACAACTCTAGATTCAGGTGAACCCCTAAGAATAAGTATAAAGTATGGATGTCTTCATCAGTGATATAAAAAAAAGAATTGTAGCCCACTATGAAAAAAAAAATCACTGAGAATAATCAGATGAACTTCATCTCTCAATATCTTTAGAACAAACTAAAAAAAATGCAATGGTTTTGACACTTGAATTATATTAGTCAATTTCCAATTTCCCATTAGATTAACAATCCAAGCAACAACAAATTTAGGTGGCATAATGAAAAATTGCCCAGGAACACATACTCAGCTATAAAGAAGGAATAAATTTGTTTTCATTCAGCCTGAGTAAAATCAAAATGGAATAGTTACAAATTTTAAAATACCATTTTAACTACGTCATATCCAAATACTTTAGTTCATATTTGAAGGGCTTAAAATAACAGCTTTATTAAACAAGCCTCGAAACTATCATTAAATATTTCTCTGGAACTAACGAAAAACATTTAAAGCACAATGCATATCCTTACCTTGTAAAATAGAAGAATAAAGTTGATGGCAAATGCAACAAATAGAGCAAGAAACCTTAAGTTATAAAAATTTCTTGCCAAGTAGTGCTGAAAGTAAAAAAAAAAAAAAGAAGCAATTAAAGGTGGCTTGTAGCTAATATCAAAATAAGGAAAGTAGGTAGCAAGGTTTCTACGAAAGTAAACACACCAACTATAATGATCAGAACATTTCTTGGCAGCCTATTATCCCATTTCACGGTAAACAGAATTAAAAATGATGGCCTTAAAATTGCAAGTCAGGGAAGAGTGAAATCGAATATTAAAGAAAACTTTCTAGGAGGAAGTCTGGAAAGAAATGCTAGAATACTGGAATAAACTATCTGAGAAGGTTTCAGAGAATTCATCATTTGATTGTGTTAAGAATTAAGGAAGAATTACAGATCTAGAAGTTAGATTATGGAAATAGCGATCTCTTAAGAAGGAGCTCAAGAGGTTAGTCTGCCCTGTTAGACCAAGATAGGAGAAATTACAAACAAAACACTTTATTTATATTACTCTATGAAGCATCACAAAAATCACAAGACTGAATACAGCCAATCATCTTGAAACTCATGCCAATGTTCCTTTTGTGATGACATTTCTCCCTTCAATATCAAACAAAGGTTCTATATTGCATAAATAAAAATTAAATTACTAAAGAATTTAAGACAAACTTACAAGCATTTTTGTTTGATAAATTTCCAAAGCTTTGAAGAAGTTAGCCATAACAGCCTCTGGTTTCTCAATTTTCTGTCCATGCCTTCGCTTCTTTTTCTTCATTTTTCCATCTTCTAGCTGCTCAGATTGTACTTCCTTTGCTTTATCTTGTTTCTCACCATCTTCCATGCTAGAAAATAATGTTATCTAAGCAAAAACACCTAGCCAAATTTATGTATTGTTATGCATTCATTTAGAAGGAATTCAAATTTAGAAAGTTAGGCTTTCAAAGTTAGTTTTGATACTGGGAGAAAAATCACAGAATCACACAATCAATTAGGTTGGAAAAAACCCTGAGATCATCAAGTCCAACCTTTTTCTGAACCACCATGTCAGCTACACCATGGCACTAAGTGCCACGCTCACTCTTAAACACCTCCAGAGATGATGACTCCATCACCTCCATTCCAGTGTTGCACCCTTTCTGTGCAGAAATTCCTTCTAATGTCCAACCTGAAACCTTCCCTAGTGCAGCTTGAGTCTATGTCCTCTCATCCTGTCACTAGTTGCCTGGGAGATGAGGCCAGTCCCTACCATGCTACAACCTCCTTTCAGGTAGCTGTGGAGAGTAATAAGGTCACACCTGAGTCTCCTCTTCTCCAGGCTAAACAATCCCAGCTTCCTCAGCCACTCCTCATAGGACTTACTCTCTAGACCTTCTAGCAGCTTCATTGTCCTCCTCTGGACAATGATTGTAAGTAAAAGACTTGAGGTATATGGTAAATCCAGAGTAAAAATAATTGACTTTAGTTTCAAAAAATAAGCAAGAATAGAGTTGTTGAGGGGAGGTCAAAAAGTAAAATTGCTGAAAAACAGGCAGAAGCAAGTGTGCCAAGTGTGAAGTACATAATTTTTGCTGAAACCAATGATGTACAGGTATACTTGCATACATGTATACAATGTACATGTATACAAGCAACATAAAAGTTTTAAGAGTTCATGGGTACTTTCTTGAACCTGGGGCTGAAGAAGAGAAATAAAACTTTTGGGATTTGGTGTACATTATCATAAGTGAATCCCAGTGTCAAGAAATGGACTCATGTCAGTCAAGGTAATCACTGTTGTTACAGAGATGTGTGAGTAATAACAAGGAAGTTTGCTTCAGAGGCTTGTACCTTACAAATTATGTAGAAGATAACAAACCTTCCTCCTGCACCACTGAACTGCCATTATGAAAATTAAGCATCAATAATGTATGGAGTAATAGAGGAATTTAGTTACTAACCAAAAAATGCTAAATGTGCACATGGGTAAAAGAATGTTGAGGCATCAATGTGATTGAAAGTTTTGGGAATGAAGATACAGAAATACAGTTTGTGGTTCACTTTATCACAGTACTATTGCAGTAGGAATCATATAACGGGTATCTAAGAATGTGTTTATCTTCTTCCAAATAAAGTCCCTATTGCAGCCTCAGAAATGTAAGCTGTTTAAACTCAATTTTTTAAGCTAAAGGCAATTTGAATATGCTGTGAAAATACTTGAGAGAAGAATTAAGCATGGTGGACAAGAGAAGACAACAGGGAATAGGGAAAATAGGTCAAATAAAATAATAGATGTGTAAGGAGATCATGGGTATGGAAAATAGGTGAAAAAGTCTAAAATAAGAAAATGAGAGAGAAATCATATCAGAAAAATTCTGTGACAATAAAATGCAAGAATTATGTTAGAAACAGCCTGAAAGGTAACAGATAGTAAATGAAAATATACTGAACCATCATAGTGTTGATGGCATACTCTAATGAGGTAACAGAAAATAGAAAGCCAAAACTCAATTTAAATGTGTACATGTGAGTACACATATATGTGTACACATTCTTGTCCACGTAAGGCATCCATATATAAATAGATGCATATATACATATTTCTACATATATGCATACATACACACATAGACATATATATACAAAGGGGAAAAAAAGAAAGGATAGCCTTCAGGAAAGATATACAAAGTGTGTCCGGTCCTAAAGTATTGGCCCCAGCGGCACACTTTAAAAATTATCTTGGGCAGATAAGAGGAGAAAAAGAAATGACTCTGAAGCAAATATTTTAAATGTGAAGCAAAATATTTAAAAAAAAAAAAAGAAAAATAATTATTTATTGTTTTTGAATCTGTAAGAATCTCTAGGAGATATTTTGTGTGTGTCTACAAATATTTTAAGGCCATTCATCAGGCTGTAAGCTTACAATGTAGGTGCAGGTCCAGGCAGACTGAATGCCCCTTAAAACAGGATGCTGCTAGAGCAAGGTAAGCATTTTAAAAATTGTTTACAAACCAGTCATATATAGGATAACTGGACAAAGGAATGTATCTTCTGTCAAGTTCACAACTCAAGAACACATGAAACAGTTGGGTTAGCCAAATTTTGTGTTTTAATGAACCAATACTGTTGCATGAAAA